CATATAGCTGCATGTATAAATAAATTGATATATGTATTCCTGGCCTTGCTAAAATTTCATGCACAAGACATTGTAGATATATACATTATTCTTGTGTTCTCAGAATAATAGGAAACACCAGTCATAAAATATCTTCTCTCTCATTTAAATGCGTATTTTAACTTATGAACTCATATGTCATAAAAGCTTACTAGACAGTATATATTTAATTTATAAAGTGATATCAACTAAACCTATTTAATTTCTTATCAAAGTTTAGCAATTACTTAAAAATTATTTACAGGTATATTTACAAAGTACAATTAACAAAAGACTTCCCAAAATTATGGAATTTAGGCTTTCCAATATTATTTTAGATATATTTTATAAAGTGCTGTGCTGCTCTAAAAGAATTAAACATGCAAGATTTTAACTACTGAAAATATAGAAATGCCGAAATCTTATCCTAAACCAATACTTTAACTTCAAAGTTAAATATCAAACAAAATGTCAAAAATACAATGACTGAAAATCTAAAAATTCTAAAAATAAAATAGACTTTTAATACAACCTGCTGGAACAACAGCACGGAACAGGAGTGACCAACACCATAAGAAATTCAAAAACCTGCCAATGGTCACCAGTCGTGCGCTGATCTAGAGGGGGGTCGGGGGTCCGGACCCCTCCTTGAATTTGCATAGTTATTAAAGGTATATACTGAAGCAAACTGATAAAAGAATGACTTTGGACCCCCCCCCCCCCGAAAACGTGGACGTACTCCACAATCACCTACCATGAAATAGGTGTTTTTCACGTTTGGGGAATTGGATTTTATGTTTTTTTGTTTGTTTTGTTTTGTTTTTAATTTCTGGTTTAATACGTTTTGTGTTTGGTTTTTTTTTCTTTTTTGGGGGGGATTTTTTTTTTTTATTTTTTAGTTAGTTAGTTTTTCTTTTTTTTTTATTAGCTTATGTTTTTTTTGTTTTTGTTTTGCTTGTCAAGAAATTTTCAGTTGGAATTTTGTTTTGACTGGGATGGAACCCCCCCCCCCCTGGAAATTCCTGGATCTGCGCCTGCCAGTCAAGTGATAGGTCTGCACCAATCGCTAAAAAGAGTTTTAGCGGGAAAAAAATTAATTTAACAAAATTGTCAATTAAATTAACACAGACACTTTTATAATTTAATTTGTTTATATAACTTTTATTTATCAACCTATATTTCATTAATAAAGCTGTATAAGAATAAAAAAACATAATTTTAAACTTACATAAACAAAATTCTGATATGCTACACATATCAAAGGAAAACTGTACACTGTAATGACACTAGATGTAAATAAACTTAATGCCAATACAAATTGAGTGCAAGTAAAATACTCATCTTAAATTATTTAAATAATTTAATTTGCATGTTGGGGGCAGAAATATGCCACGGTGCCATACGTATATAAATGTAACTAGAAATATGTCCATAGAACATGAATGCCCCGCCGAGGGTATATTAGTAATGCAACATGAAAATTTGTATTAGTGTATGAAATTTGATGAAAATATCTTGAATACTTTCTTTAAAATTGAAATCTAAAATGTTGGATATAGATGATAAATTCTCACCGAATTATGTATGAGTGCAAAAGCTTACATATATATACCTTAAATGGTTTCTTTAAAACTAAGCAAAATGCAAATTTAAGAAAAATTAGGTCAAGGTCACAGGAACATTTAAGGTCAAACACTTTTGATACGGTTTAATAGTTCTTACATATACGTATCAGCATATTAAGTTTGATAAAAATATTTTGAATGGTTTATTAAAAACTGAGCTAAACACTAATTTAAAATAAATGAAGTGAAGGTCAAAGGAAAGGTCAAGGTGAAAAAATATTGATGCAGTTGAAAAGCTTACATCAGTATGTATTAGCATATGAAGTTTGATATTTAAAAATACTATGAATGGTTTCTTTAAAACTGAGTTAAACACAAATTGATAAAAGTGAGGTCAAAGTCAAATGAAAGGTCAAGGTCAAAAATGTTGATGCAGTTGAATTGCTTACATCAGTATGTATGGCATACTAAGTTTGACACTTATTTAAGAAAGTGAGGTTAAGGTCAAAGGAAAGGTCAAGGTCAAAAAATGTTGATCCAGTTGCATAGCTCACATCAATATCTATCAGCATATGAAGTTTGATGAAAATATCTTGGATAGTTTCTTTGAAAATGAGCTTTGAACTGAGCTAAACGCAAAGCGCAACGGAAGGACGGAAGACGGACATGACAAACACTATATGCCCCGGCCATATTCATGGCGGGACATAAAAATGTGACTTGTTTCTTTAAAAGGAAGTCTCATGGTTCCTTTTCAGGTGTTATGTACGTTGCGTTACATCGCAAAGGCCGATTTCTTTTCCGAAGTTGGAGACATTCATGGGGTTTCGAAATCGTCCGTCTCTGTATGTATACCAAGGGTGTGTCAAGCCCTTTGTGAGCACTTGCAGAACATTAAATTTCCATCATCAGTGATCTCTCTAAGGAAAATGAAAGAACAATTTTACTGCATCGCCCGTTTCCCCAACGTGGTAGGAGCCATAGACGGGACGCTTATCCCTATCAAAGGAATGAGTAGCGATGACGAACACATCTATGTGTCAAGAAAGAACTTTCATGCCCTGAATATCCAAGGGGTAGTGGACGCAGAGATGAGGTCTATCCAAATATTGTTAGCGATTTGTACAATGCAGTCCATCTACAAATATACAGTAAAACTTGTCTAATCCGGATGATGTGTAATCCAAAATCTTGCTTATTACGATATTATCTTTATGTCAATTTCAGTAAATTTATTTGTTTAAAATGTTGTCTAATCCGAATTGTTGTGTAATCCGGTCATTTTCTTTGGAACCAGTAGTGTCCGAATTAGACAAGTTTTACTGTAATTCATTTTCAAATGGAGAACATTTTGTTTCTCTTCTTGCTTAATTTTCTTTACGATCATACGATGTTATACTCTTATTTCAGATTTCTTAACATCAATTGCCGATTCCCAGGCAGTGCGCATGATGCATACATCATGTCAAACTCCAACATTCCAGGCATTATGGCTAACCTGACAGACGGTGGATGGCTGCTTGGTGACTCTGGGTTCCCTTTGAAAGATTTCCTCATGACACCCTTCAGTAACCCTTCTACTCAAATGGAGGAAAGATATAATCATGCTCACTGCCAGACAAGAAATGTTATAGAGAGGGCATTTGGCGTGCTTAAATCCAGGTTTAGGCATGTGATAAGTTTTCAAAACATCATAATTATCTTCCATTAGATATTATCTGTAACATAAAGTTGTATAAGTATCATTAGTTTACGTGAGAAACTAGTTCCCTATTATCTCCATCAAGAATGAGTGCTCATATTTACCTTAAAAGCCATATATGAACAATATATAAATGAAAAAGCAGTAAAATATATACTAACATCATAATTTAGCCTTCATAATTGCTAAATTGAGAATTTGATCAATCAAACCATTCATACTTTGCAGATGTCTTCACAAGAGTGGAGGATGTCTGCCATTTACACCGACCAAATCTGCACTTGTCATTGAGACATGTTGCAGACTTCATAACAAGGCCATTGAGGAGAGAATCCCCTTACAACAAGGTGGTGAAGTTGTATTACAACACAACAACTATGTTTATGGAGGAGCACCTCTGCGGTCAGCCAGAGACCTGAGACAACACATTGCATCAAGATTTTAAGTAAATTTAATAACAGGCAACATTTAAGGAGACTCTAAACACTGCACACAGGAGAGTTCTAATTCCCTATTAGTTTTATGCAGTTAAAGTTATCTACCCATAGATTAATGTGAATTAAACGTAAATACACAGTGAATATCACCATTTGATTTAGATTTAAGTATTATTAAAGTAAATTATACTACACTGTAATATAAAGCAATTGAATGCATTATTTGCAGGTATTTTCCAAATGTAAGTAAACAGCAGTGATTTCTTTAACTACCACTTCATTATCTTTTAACGTATCCTGGAAATGACAGGTACCCACTAGATAAATTCAGTATTCATGGACACCTTTAGATGATACATGTATATTTCTTTAAAGTCCAAAACACGATTTCCTTGGTGTTTAGAGCCTCCTTAAATTGTCCGGGATATAACTTAGCACTGTAAGTGCATAAAATTTAATTGCCTTTGATGGTTATTTTTTAGTTCAAGTAACTTTTATTTCATAGCAAAATTTGTTTTACTTTGTAGAAAGGAGGACAAACTGAAATAATGAAGAACTCGCTGTATTTTGCCTTTGAATTTAATATTTTAAAGTTAAAATAAATAATCTATACAATGTAAATATTATTTTCTTATCTATTTTCACATTAGTATCTGGTACTCTAGAAGAGAAAAACAATACCATATACATGTATTGTATCAACTTTTTGAAAATTGTTTTACAGAGAAGCGTTTTTCTATTTAGGCAAAATATACAGGGTGTAATCAAATGTTGATGACAAAGAATTTAACAAAAGGCCTATGGGCCACATTGCTCACCTGAGCATATTGGCTTATAAAAATAAAAAAACATTCAGTTTTGAAAAGTTCCTATGTAAAACTGTAACTGCCCATTGTGGTCCCACCCTGACCCGGGGTCAGGATTTGAGAAATTTGAATCTTCACTACCTGAGGATGCTTCAAAACCAATATAATTAATCGTGGCTTTGCTATTCTTGAGAAGAATTTTTTTAAAGATATTTCCTATATATTCTTATGTTGAACTTTGACACCCTGTTGTGGCCTGGCCCTATCCCTGGGGGTTATAATTTGAACAATTTTGAATCTTAATTATCTCCCCTTGAAAAAGAGTGTGGCCCTTCATTTTAACAAATCTGAATTCCCTTTACCCAAGGAAACTCTATTCCAAACTTGGCTGAAATTGGCCCAGTGGTTCTAGAGAAGATGATAATGTAAAAAGCGACAGTAACAACTATGACAATGACAGACAACAGACAAATTTTGATCAGAAAAGCTGACTTGGGCCTTCGGCTCAGGTGAGCTAAAAATGAATAACTGAAGGAACTGACAATCCTGATTCTAAATTCTGCCATCCCTCCAATATTGCTACAGCTCTCTCCAGTGCTTGAGCCTTCCTTTCCTCAAGTTCTAATCTTTTCTTTTTCAAATCAACAAGTTCTTTAATGCCATTTTCTGCAAAAAAGGGCATATTAAAAACCAGCTCATTAGCATAACAACATTACAATAAATCCATTAGATTGATGTCAGTGCTAAAAATGTTTACCAGTTGAAACTCAAAAAATTGAGACCTTTTTCCCTTACAAATTGTGATAGTTGTACTTGGTTTTATTTTATTTCAATTGATGCTATATATATTTTATTTCAGAAATTTAATAACTAGAATATTCACAAGGTTGAATTTTGATGTTTTGTTTTTATGATTTATGCACCCTGGATATTCTTTTGCTAACTATTACCATAGTCTTCAGTCTTCTTCTTTCCTACTGATTCCATACTCTTCTTTCTCTTGCATGCTTGTGATGGCAAGGCTGAAATAAAAATGAAAACAGATGTGAAAGATCTTGTCTATAAAATTTTCTTGCCTGCAAACTGTGTTAGGAATTGAGTAGCGTGTAGGCAATTTTTTTTACGTCTTTAAACAAAACATACAAGTAACACTAATGACAAAAGAATATAGTGCTTAAAAGCATTTCCATGATTTAAATTTAAAGTTTGAATTTTTATAAATCTGGGAACAGCAGAAAATTTTGTTCAGAACTAAAAATAAGGGACTGTAACGAAAGTGGAAACAAACTTTTTTTTTTGCTAAACCTAATGTATCATTTTTATCAACTTGCCAAGGCTTGGGGATAAAACACACAACTGACTGAATAAAAAATCTTATTTCCTATCCAGCTTATAACATGATATTTAATTGGTTAGCAAGCCAGGTGTAAATTTCTGTACATCCGGCTTGAGCGGGGTTAAGTAACATGACATCACAATGCATCATTTCTCTATGAAAAAGCAGACAACATGATATCATTGTAGCACATAGTAAATCTTATCGATAGTTTGAAGCACCATTGATAGGACTTATGTTTACAAAGAATTTATTTGGTACATAGGAAATAAATTTGTTATTCCTAGGCCGAAGGGTGTATGGAATACAACCCGGGGTAAATCCCCATAAACCCTTGATTGAATATCCAACCACAAACCTTGGTGGTTTATCTTAAAACCATATATATATTCAATTAATGCTATATGCAAATCCTGATAATTAAATAAATAGTTGTAACATCATTTAATAATGAATGAATTAGTGTCGGAATCAGATATCAAGTATACATGCATACATACCTGTACATGGAGTTGAAGGCTCTTCAGAAGTTACATGTATGTCAACCACACATTCTAAAATTTCCAGATCATGATGTTATATATTAGCATATGTGATTAAAATAAAATGTATCTTTCATAAATAAGGATAATTCCAAGTATATGTAACTTTTCAATTTTTATCAAAAAAGATATTTTTTATGCGAATAGTCAACTTAAGCAATGTATAATTCATAATATTATTTCTTGTTGAAACTAAATGTGTCAGTGTGACATTAAGGCCCCCTTCCTAATTTCATACTTAACTAAATACTAAAAAACTAAATATGATGGAATGAAGGAATAATAGACCATGATAGTTGGACAGGGAAATTTCATGGTGGAGGGGTGGGGGTGGGGGGAATGTAGATTTTGATTATAAAACCAACAATGACTGTAAACCCAGTTACTATAAACAATATACAATTATTGCTGGTTTTTGAGGTCAATACAATGATTTAGACACCTGAGGAGTACAATATTCACAGAGCCTGAAGGTCGAGGTGAATATTGTACTTCGAAGGTGGCTAAATCATCGTATTGACCGAAAAAAAACAGGAATAATTGTTTTATTCAATGATTAAATGACATGCACTTATTAAGCAATCCGTGCCATCTTACTTGTTCACATCTACTGAAGTACTAGCCGAACATAATGAGAGAAACGGGGTTAAAAAAACACAGATGTATTATTTTTGGAATTATTAATTCTAGTTTAGGTGCAATGTAGAAAAAATAAATATCAGGCACATATATGGGATTGATTTTGAAAAGGGGACATTAAAAGGAAGAAAAAAATTACAACTTATCCAAAAACAAATCTTTGACTACCCCCCCCCCCCCAAAAAGGAAAAGAATTCTCCCAAATCAAAATTTATTTGGTGGAATGTAAAGGTCCATAAATTTTTTTGAGGGGAGGGGGGCTTACATTGAAATTTTTTATCCTTAGAATTTAAATTAAAACTTAAAATTCTCAAAAGGTGGGGAGAGGTACAGGCCTCCTTCCCCCCCCCCCCCCCCTCACCCAAGAATCTATGTGCCTTAATGTTATGTTCATATCAGTGGATGTCATGTGCAAGTGAAATAACTTTCCTAAACTATTTGCATCAATCTGGAATTTCCCTATCTATTTCTGGTCCAGTGTAGAACAAATAACTCCTTATATTGACCTGGAAGATCACCAGCAGGTCAATATAAAGTAGTATTTTTCTAAAATTGTTGGATCTCAGCCAATCAGAGAGATGGGAATTATTCAGTCATATGATAAAATGTATTATACAGTCCAATGACCTGAAACATTCTTAGATGTCGCACTGCAATCTCCTGTTGCTCCGGGACAATTCAAATCAAAGTTTGTCTTCTTTGGTTGACCTGTACATCAGATATAAAAAAGAATAATATTTCAGTATGTTTACAAAATTCTACAGCTAGATTTGCAATATCATACAACAATTTTATCATACAGATATAGTTCTTTGTACATGTATTAAGTATATGAAAGTAAATGTTTGAGATTCATGGTGTCATAATAAATTAACCCTTTAAACCCTAAAATATCAAATCATACGGCGATTTCTAATGTAAATGTGTATATACTATAGTAATATGGGATTACATTGATCTTCATCTGATCTAGTATCTGCTGCCCCTTCTAAGCCATGTATAATCTCTTGTGGAATTGTTCCAAGAAGCTAAAAAATCAAAGTACATTAGTATGTAAGCTTAAATTTATTTCCATAAAAAACATAAGAATGTTGTTTCCAATTTAATGAAGTGACTACTTTCTAGAAATATTCCTTTTGTGATATAATTTTTTAAAAAAGTTTTTTTCAAAAACTTGAAAGACAAGTTCTTTGAACATTTCAATTGATCCTGTGTATAAACTTTATTCACTCATTTCACTTTTACTTAACTTTTATAGTAAGCTTTCTATCCACTACCAAATACTCACAGTCACCTCCCATGGCTTAAAAATCACTTCTGAACAGGGTCCTCCACCTGTTCTTGATGCTTCTCTCTTTCGGAAAGCCTCCTTCTTTTTCACACTGGACAGACTATCCTGTATTTTCTTTTTGGTTTCATCCAATGTTCTGTTGCATGATACTGCTACAGCATTCACTCTGCATTTATTTTAATGCTAAGAGTTATTTTAAGATATTTTAAGTACCTAATGAAATAATGATAAAAATAAAAAATTTATATTTGAAATGGATATATATATATATATATATATATATATATATATATATATATATATATATATATATATATATATATATATATATATATATATATACTGTAAATACAGTGAATAATTTTGCACTGCCAAGGATGCATACAGGCATATAATATGTACATGTATTTAGTACCGGTATACAGTATACCAGTGTATACGTCTTTAGTATTCATGGTGACCATGAATCATGGTATTGCTGTTTATTTTTTTTTTATTCGTATTTGTTAATTACAGTGCGTCATAATTTTGAAATCCACGATATTTGTTTTGTTGTATGAAATGGTGATAAAACATGGATAAGGATTCATATTCAAACTGACAAATAGTACGCCCTGTATTAATCCATACATGCATTACAAACAGGGGGTGGCATATGCTAAAGTCGGTACTGTGACGCGCACATTGTTCAACCTGAAAGAAGGGGCATGTAAAAGCATTACATTATTTCTCATCATCATTATCAGAATATACTAAATGGATACATTTTTTATAAGAGAACATACATATGGGTTTCTCTCCATCTTCGATTCACTAGCCCACTATCGCCTTTTGTTTACTTTCGCTTTCTATTTGAAATGAATCTGCGGATCTAATTGTGGCGGATTATGTACATCAACTCTTATTGAGAAAAAATTAAAACTGTGAAATCTCAATGATATTTTATGACAGCTTGGTCAGTTGATGGAACGTTTCCATTAAAGGATTTCAAAGATTTAGGCCTAATGCATACAGTGTGATATATTAATATAGACATGTCTTCACTCACAGAAGTGTCTTTTGAATAATTAATCAATTGAATTCATGTAGTAGGAATCTTTTTTATGCCGTTTATAAATTTATTTCTTTGCATTGTTGCAAATTTAACGTATGGAATAGAATCAGATACATGCAAAAAATAAATATGGGGCCTAAATAAATATCAAAATAAGAACTAACCTCTCTGTTATCTCTTCCCATGCTCTTTTCTTAGCATCAGAGGTAATAGATGGAGAGAATTTACCTCGAATAATCCTTATGGAGTTACAATATGCCTCCATGAGCACATCCATTTCGATGTCCGTCCAATTCGGCTTCCTCGCTTTCGTTCTATCCATTATCTTGCAGACGACTCGCAATGTAATCGAAAGTAGTTAATACGCATGCGTAGCTTCCGTTACTAGGTTAGTTTTTCTACCTTTTACTGAAGAGTTCCTGTCGTAAGTTACGAGAAACTTTACGTGCGGGACTACGTTTACGGGCGCAGATACGACCTTTAGTAAAACGCTATCTACGCACACGTAAATTCAGTCGTAAAGTCTACGTTTACGTCTACGTCTACGACAAAATTTACGACCTTTAGTAAAACTGCGTACAGAAGAGCTTATGCGATAGTAAGGTGTCCGTCGTCCGTCCGTCTGTCTGTCTGTCTGTTTGTCTGTATGTAAACAATTTTTCAAAAACGCTACTCCTCCTACAGTTTTGGTCTGATTTCAATATAACTTAGCACACAAGTAGACTGTACAATGATACATAATTAAGTGCATCGGTTTTCGATTTCAACGAACGGTGTTGCCATGGTTACTAAAAACAGAAACTTCTGTGAAATTCCTTTAAAACGCTATTCCCCCTACAGTTTTGGTATGATTTCAATATAACTTGGCACACAAGTAGACTGTACAATAATACATAATTTAGTGCATCGGTTTTTGATGTCAATGAACGGTGTTGCCATGGTTACTAAAAATAGAAATTTCTGTTAAATTCCTTTAAAATGCGACTACTCCTACAGTTTTAGTCTGATTTCAATATAACTTGGCACAGAAGTAGACTACATTAAGATAAATAATTCTATTTATTGTTGCATGTTGCAAAGTTTCAAATCCAAGCGCTACTTTTCCTTTGTTATACGTACAGACCAGTAGAGCTACAGTCTCATCAGAGACTTCTGGTTCGTTATATAAATTAATTAATCGTATCCTATTGTTTATATAAAGTGCTGGGGCAAGTTTAAATTTTATTTGTATGGATATTATTTTATCTTATCAACAAATGGGAGGGTATTTTCCACTCTTTATTGCAATTTATACACAATAGGCTATGTACAAGGGTTGTCCGGTAAAATCGTGGACAAAGTGATTTTATTGAAAAATAAAGGGCGCACTAATCTGAAATTTTCAGCAAATGTTCATTTACTATATTTAAGTGCACCTTAATTTATTTTATTAAAATATGGACAAAAATAAAGATTTATTTTTCTTGAATGTGCACAGGGTACGGTCCTACGGCGCACAGGATTTCTTAAGAGAATACACAAGTATTATTTCGAAATAAAAGTATTAAGTAGATAAGGTTCGGGTAAAAGTTATCCTGTTCTTAATCCACTATCCATTATGTCGTCTTCTGGAAAATTTCAAGGCATTTTCTTAATTTTTGGCAGTTTCCCAAGCATTTGAAATGGGAAAGTGGTAAACAAAACCCACGAAAAATTGTGACATTCTACGGCATTACGGCGCACCGGAGAGCAGTTCAGTTTGATTTAGAAGTAGTAATGACACCCTAAGGGACTTGAAATGACTACAGAAGAAAAAAATATATTAAAATATTACTAGATCTTTAGTATACATTTTTTTGAGCGGAAGCCTTTTGATCGAGTACCTGGGTAGAACAAAACATACGGACAAACAGCTACTGGCAATAGCGAAAGTTGCTGTCACTGTAGACTGTCAATAAAAGTTGCCCTATTTAGTTGAATGATAGAGTAATGTTAGTAACTTAATATATACATTTGTGGTATCTCTCTATTATTGCAGCCCGGAGGACCGAGCTGCTCTATACATATAAGTTTAGGTGTTGGTATATGGGGATTGAGGTGGGAGAAGTTATTCAGAATTAAAGGTTTTCTAAACATTAAAAAGATTGTTAATCAGAATGTTCGTTCCCTTTATAAATTACGAGATACACAATATATTTACTTCCATAAAGTGAATCTGTAAAAATATATATGTTTTTCATATTTAATACATAAAGTTGCTTATCATTTACTATCGAAATAACGACAGGTCCCTTTTTTTAGAACATCGAATTTTACTTATCGCATAAAAACGTAAAAATGTACTTTACACAGTTCGTGTTTTATATTCTTAAAGTGAAAGACATTTTTGAAAATAGGTGATGCATGTGTCTGGTTTCAAATTATATTTTATGCAGCCAACATTTACTTGAGGAATTGATAAAGTTTAAAAGGGTATAGTTTTTGTTCGATTTTCATCCGACTATAAGTTTTCAAAATATTCTCGACTATCGTCTCCATCATTTAGACGCATGCCTTTTTCACACATATCGAAGCGGTTTGATGATCAAGACTAATTTCCATTGTTTACTTTATTTATTTCCCGGGCGACAATTGATGGTTACATCAATGTTTTCTTGTATAAACATACAGAGAGCAAATATCTTCATACCTGTATGAAGTTTTTCGAAGGTCATAGGTCATTACGTGACCTAATCACACAGCGCAATAATATCTACATAAAAAGACTTACTCTACTTAGAAATATCATAGCATGTTTTTCATGCATAAAAATGTACAAAATACGCAACGTTTACCCTTATTTTTCTTGCATACCTCTGAATGCTTTTTTTCATTAAACTTTACTCACAATTAATTTGAAAATCTGTTGGAAATATCAATATAATGCAATCACGCCACAAACACTGCACTTCGGAAGTTCGGTAGGCACACCTCCATCATCGAGATCGTTGTCTTAACAATGTAAGCTGTCGCCAGTGTCTCCGTGTCAACATCATAATAAATATGCCTTACTGAAATCGTAGATTTTATGTTTCTGATCAAAGTTTATACTTGATTTCAAGTAAACTGGTCCAGACAAGTGTCTCCATCTATCTCTTTCCGACCGAAATTCCTCCAACTTTTTATTATCAAACATCGGACGTGTTTCTTGTGTTTTTTTAAACATCGTATATGGGTTCTCGTGAATACAAAATTTCCCAGACACCAATATGCTCACTATAATTGATCACAGGTAGCCTTTCACAGAATATTCCCTTCAAAACAGAATACTATGGAACGCCATCACTGCCTTATAAGATAAATCTATACATTCATTTTGTCAACTCATCATTACATGATGTGAACATACCTTTACGTGATGTCAACATTTTATGAAGTGAGGTAAAATTATCTTTACATTATACCAAAACTATATTACACTAAGTAAATATATTCATCCATTATGTCAACACTTTATAACTTGATGGCAGAAGTTCATTATGTGAAGTTAAAATATCTTTACATTGTGTCAAAACTTTATTGCGTGAAATGAATGTTTCTTTAGATCATTTCATTTCTTTATTACGTGATGTAAAAATTTGCATTACGTAAAGTTAAAATATCTTTGCATAATTATATTATGTAATTAAACTTAGCATTACGTTAGGTCAGAAGTCCATTTCTTGAAGTGAGTGTATCTTTACATTATATCAAAGATTATTACGTGATGTGAATGTATCTTTATATTACGCCAAAAGCATGATGAGGTGAGGTGAACATATCTTAACGTTATGTCAGTACTTTATTACGTTGTGTGAAAAAGTTAATTACATAAAATGAACAGATCTTTTTAATATTATATCAACACTTTTTACATGATGTCAAAACTCCATTCCATTATGTGGATAGATAGTTAGGTTATGTTAACTCTTTCTGATGTGATGTTAAAATATCTTGATATTGTGTTAACCCTTTATTACGATGGTGCCAAAAGTTCATTTAACGTGATGTTAAATTACATTTACATTATTTCAAATCTGTATCTCTCGAAATTTCTATATGTATCGTGAGAACATCTTTATTATGTCAATACTCATTACGTGATAACGAATGTTTGGTACGTTTTCAGTGAAGTTATCTTTCCATTTGTGTTGTTGAAAGAGGGCGTAATTGCGTCAATTGAGTGTAGAGTGGACGACTGCGTTTTCGCTACTGGGACAGGACCGTAGAATGCGGGGAATTGGGGTTGCTTGTCAGAATATTTTGGGAAGTTGCCTCTTGTCAGTTTAGGTTTTCTTGCTTGTCAGATTTTTTGGGGGAAATTGCCCCCCCCCCACTTTGAAACCGTTGCTACGTAACGGGCCTGTTGGGGGGAGGGGGGCAGAATATATATCTCCAAAATCTGCCAGCCCCATCTAAACCAAATGTCCCTGCCATAGAAAGCACGCACACACATGTAATACGATGAGTTTACACTTACTGAAAAATGGGAGGGTTAACAGCTGATAAAAATTAGGGACAATGTCTTGTAGAAAGATGAGAAATAATAGACTTTTATGAAAGAACAATTCAAAATAAAAAAAAAAATTACTGCATAAAACAAACTTTTATGTAACATTTGGTGGGCGAAAATTGTCAGATTAAATATGATCGAGATTCGGCGTTAAAGAAAAATAATTTTACATCAGTTGATAAAGATTCCACAGTAACATAATCCTACATACATGTAAGTTTAAACTAGATATTTAATTGAGGAATAATTAGTTCTAGTATATAATTTTATATAAGTTGTCTTTTTATTTTGCATGCGTAACATAAAATGAACTTTCAGCATAACCTAATGAAGGAGTATAATCTGTGTAATGATCGGTATAAACAAATTTCATATAGTAAACTTTCTGTATCGTATAAAGATATATTCACTTCACACAAAGAGTTGAAATAATATAAGATACGCTGACAACAGACTATTTACCTTTGGTACAATGTAAAGATACAAAGGCATTACGTAATAATGATTTGCCGAAACGTAACGACAAAATCAGAGCACGTAATGGATTTCCACCATCTTGTAGCATATTGTTAACATAATGTAGAAAAAAACTGTCCGTGTGTGTTCATTTTTTCACATCATGTAATGAAAGACTTGATGTTGACATAAGGATAAATTCACATAATGTAAGGAAGTATTTGCACCACATAATAAAGAATTCACATACATGTAATATAATGATGATACAATATAGGTATTTTCAGAGAATTCATGAATTTTCAACAACATTTAATAAAGAGTTGACATAATATAATAAATATGTTGACATAAAA